ATAGAATAGAATAGAATAGAATAGAATAGAATAGAATAGAATAGAATTCACTATTGGCCACATTAAGTGTTGGAGATCAACAAGTCAACTAGATGTGTTTTATGGTGCTCAATTCCTTAGAGGTCCATCAATTGAATCCATTGTTTTTCTACTGCCCTTCTTTCAGGTGCATCTCTGCATGGAACCCCCCCACTCCTTTGGTTGAAGAGCTCTCCTGGCTCAAATCCTGAAGAAATCGTCACCCTCCCATCTCGTTCTCTTCCCAGGTGGCGCTGCAGCTGCTGGAGAACGCGGTGGCCCGTGGCCAGTGGCTCATGTTGCAGAATTGTCATCTCTTGGTGAAGTGGCTGATCGACCTGGAGAAGGCCGTCGAAAGGATCACAAAGCCTCACCCAGATTTCCGACTGTGGCTGACCACTGACCCGACCAAAGGTTTTCCCATTGGGATCCTTCAGAAATCTCTTAAGGTAAATGACCTCTGGAAGGGATTGTTTCGTGCCCTTGACTCTGATTTGCTCTTCTAGTAGGAGGCATCAGAGCATGGGAGCCAAACTTTGGTGGCCGCCTCCGTTTGTCCTACCTTGAAAAACCCACCAAATCACCTCATTGGGGCAGATGATCTGACAAGAGGAGAACATCCCAAACTTCCTGAGTGACCATGTGTCAGGGCTCCGACAATACACCCCCATTCAAATCATAAGTCTCTAGCCGCATCTCTTGGAGTAAAAAAAAAAGATTTATTAGGAATGACCATGTCGGCGTTACCTGGATGCAGCTGACACTAAGACATATCATTCATTTCACCCTTGACCCTGGTTTTCCCCCACTCCCAGATGTATATTCTCCAGTGGGACACATCCATAACCAATCACGCTCTCCAGTAATAAACTTGTGTGCCAACAGCTTCGGCTGCCTAGCAATTATCTGAAGCATTTAAGGAATGCACTGCTTTCCCCCACTCCCTTTCTGCTGGCTGCTAAAAAGACCAAGAGTATTTTTTTTAGTTGACATAGTGTTGATCAGCGTCACTGGGTTTAATTTTGGGTGAGGAGCCCGGGGACACCACGGGCACAGTGGGCATGGGAGAAAGACCAGCGAAAGTTCAAAAAGCATCTCCAGGTAGAGGAGCATGAGAAAGTGGTTGCATCTGCGGACTCAACCCGTCCGAACTGGGGTCGTTTTCTTCCCTCATCTCAGGTTGTCACGGAGCCCCCCAACGGGTTGAAGCTCAACATGAGAGCGACCTTCTTCAAAATCTCCCACGAGTCTCTCGACCAGTGTCCTCATGCCGCCTTTAAGTCTTTGGTCTACGTCTTAGCGTTTTTCCATGCTGTAGTCCAGGAGAGGAGGAAGTTTGGGAAGATCGGTTGGAACGTGCCCTACGATTTCAACGAATCGGATTTCCAGGTAGTCGGCATTCTGGTTCCTCAGGAAGGCGCGGTCAGGATCCTCTTGGATTTAGGAGGACCTCCCCCAAAAAAACCTGAGGACTTTTCCTTTCATTTTGCTTTGAGAAAGGAGCCTTGCCAATCGCTGTCAGTTTTAAGAGCAGGAAGTTAGAAAGGCTGAGCGAAGAGAGACCCCCGAGTGTGTCAGGATTCTGTCAGTTACCCCATTTAAATCATGAGTCTTGAGCCAAACTTCCAAAACTTCAAAATGATTTATTGGGAATTAACATGCCGGCGCTGCCTGAGTGCAGCCAACTCTGGGACACATCATTCATTGTCACCTTTGACCCTGGTTTTCCCCCACCCCCTGGGTGTATCCTAATTCATATTCTCCAATGGGACACTTCCATAGCTCAGAGTCATCAGTCATGCTCTCCAGTTAGAATTTTGCCCGGCAGAAACTTCAGTCACCTAGTTATTATCTCTGAAAACATTTATGGAATGCACTTTCGGTTTGCAAGCTGCCCCACTGTCAGGGTTCTGGCAGTTACTCCAATTAAATCATAAGCCTTGAGTCACATTCCCAGAACTAAAGAGGATTTATTTGAAGGTAACATTCTACGTCCACCACTGCTCTTCCTTCCCTTTCTGCTGGCAACTCTAAAAAAGACCATAGAAATATTTTATGAGTGATTAATCCGTGGATTTCCCCCCCACAATTCCACCAGGTCTGCATGGAGATCCTCAACACATACTTGACCAAAGCTTTCCAGCAAAACGATGACAAAATCCCCTGGGGAAGCCTGAAGTATCTCATCGGAGAGGTGAGCGGACAAGGGGCAGAGAGTGATTCCTTCAAATGACAGGTGGGGGTTCAAAAATGACCCCAGGAAACTGGTCAATATTCAACCAGAAGGCCCAGTATCACGTCTTCTGACTATTGGGGAGGGAGCAAAATACTCCTCCCCCACCGGTGGGTCTGGGACTTGCAATTTCCTGCAGGCTTCCCCATTGACTTTGGCTAAGGCTGAGGCCTGTCCTTTACGACTGCATTGCTCAGGGACAGAAATCCCAATCCCAATTGCCGTTGTAAGTCAAGGACTACCTGTAAATTGGTTTAGGACTACTAGGGTGGTACCAGAGGGCTGGTCAGTGCCCCGAAGACCGTCCATCCACCTTTTCATTCACTTTGTTGAATTTTAACCATCTTTGCCACTTTTAAAATTTTATACGTGGTTTTTACGTTTCGATATTTTATTCGTACATCGTCCACAGTCTTTCTGTAAGAGGCAGTTTCTAAATTTGATAAATAAAAATAAAATAAAATAAAAATAGTCCAGGGAAAAAAAATCCATCTCAAATGGTGATTAAAACCTTGTCACGCTGCCAAATTTCTAGGTGATGTACGGCGGGCGAGCCATTGACAGCTTCGACCGGCGCATCCTTACTATTTACATGGACGAATACCTGGGAGATTTTATCTTTGATACGTTCCAGCCCTTCCATTTTTTCTACAATGACGAAGTTGATTACCGAATCCCCGAAGGGACGTCGAAGGACGATTATGTGGGTAAGGCACCAGCTGGGAGTTGAAGTCCAGAAGTCTCAAAAGTTGGACACGCCTGGTTTAAAGTTTGACGGGTCTGGGGGAGAAATAGAACAACACCCCTTAACATAGCACTCTTCCAGATACAATAGCACGTCCATATTTTACAGTAGAGCCTGATTTGGCTTTCTTTCATTGCTGTCTCTTAATTACGTACATTAAAAGAAGTACACAACATTTTTAAATGTAATTCTATATTGACACTCCATTAGAATAGAAACAGAAATAGAATAACTGAGTTAGAAGGGACCTTGGAGGTCTTCTAGTCCAACCCCCTGCCCAGGCAGGAAATCCTACATCACTTCAGACAAATGGCTGTCCAACATCTTTTTAAAAACTTCCTCCAGTGTTGGAGCATTCACAACTTCTGGGGGCAGGTAGTTCCACCAATTAATTGTTCTGATTGTCAGGAAATCTCTCCTTAGTTCTAAGTTGCTTCTCTCCTTGATCACATTCCATCCTTATTGCTTCTCTGGTCCTACCTTCTCTGGTGCTTTGGAGAATAGCTTGACTCCCTCTTCTTTGTGGCAACCCTTGAGATATTGGAAAACTGCTATCGTGTCACCCCTGGTCCTTCTCTTCATCTTCAAGCCCGCTCTTTCTGCGTCTTCCTTCCACAGAAGAGATTGAGTCCCTACCCCTAGCCAACACGCCGGAGGTGTTTGGCTTGCACCCGAACGCTGAAATTGGGTACTATACCCAGGCAGCCCGCGACATGTGGTCCCATCTGTTAGAGCTACAGCCCCAAACAGGTATGGCCCTCAAGAGGTTCGGCAGAATTGGACAAAATGGGCCTCTGGTCTTTTGAGGCCCCAGGGAAGAAGGCAATTCAAACTCTGCTGACCAGCACTTCCTAATTTTCGTTGCCTGGAATAAAGAGCTAAAAATCTAGAAATGAATAGTTGGAATTTTGCCGTAATCCTGTATCAGCAAGAAAACAAAAATAAAAACCCTCCCCAATCAGCATAACATTTCCCATTCTGCAGTGTTGGATTCGTCATCACCCAGCAACAAAAAATGGTTCTCCTCCATCCGATCCCTTTGTCCTGATTTTAGGGGAATCCGGTGCTGGGATCAGCCGGGACGAGTACATTGGTCAGGTTGCCAAGGACATTGAGAATAAGCTGCCCAAGGTTTTCGATCTGGATCATATCAGGAAGGTTTTGGGCATCGACATCTCACCGACGACGGTGGTGCTGCTGCAGGAACTGGAGAGGTTCAACAAACTCATCGTCCGGATGACCAAGTCTTTGGCCGAGCTGCAGAGAGTAAGCAGATCTTGCCCACCCGTCGAAACTCTCCACCCTCCTCCTTTCCCCATCTTGAGTGGCCGGTGGACTGACCATCCTTTGTGTCTTCGCGCCCAGGCCTTGGCTGGGGAGGTTGGCATGAGCAACGAACTGGATGAAGTAGCCCGGGCTCTCTTCAACGGTCAGATTCCAAACATCTGGAGGAAGTTGGCTCCTGATACGCTGAAGACCTTGGGCAACTGGATGATTTATTTTAAGAATAGGTTTCTCCAATACACCTCGTGGGTAAGTAGACACGACACCTTTGCAGCACTCTTGTTAAGTGGGGGAGAGGCCTGTGCTTTGGGGTAAAGCTTTGGTCTTTTCCCCACCCCCCTGGATGTGACTTCTCCAATGGGACACATCCGTCTCCAAGAGTCATCCATCATCCTCTCCAATAACCTTTTTATGCACTGACAACTTTGGGCTGCTGAGTTGGTTATCTAGGCAGGTAAGGAATGCCTTGTTTCCCCCCCACTCCCTTTTTCTGGCAGCTAAAAAGACCAAAGGAGTCTCTTTTTAGTTGACAAGTGTCTCAGAGCCAGCTGCACCCAGGTAATGCCGACATGGTCGCTCCTAATAAATCATATATATTTTTTTTAATCCTGAGAGATGTGGCTAGAGACTCATGATTCGAATGGGGGTGAAATTGTTGGAGCCCTGACACGGCGTTCCTTGCTGCCCTTAGGTTGAGGAAAGCGAGCCGAGCGTCATGTGGCTGTCAGGGCTGCACATCCCGGAGTCCTACCTCACGGCGCTCGTCCAAGCCACCTGCAGGAAGAACGGCTGGCCGCTCGACCGCTCCACTTTATACACCCAAGTCACCAAATACCGGACCGCCGACGAGGTCACAGAGCGGCCAGGACAAGGTAAGGTGTTTCCCAAGGGGGCCGCGCAGAGCTCCTGATGGGACTTGCTATAGCAACGATTTATTAAAACTTACACGCTGCCTGTCTCTGGGCAGCTGCCCCGGGTCTCCCAGCCCTGCTTTTGTTGAGGGTGTGTGTGTGTGTGTGTGTGTGTGTGCGCGTGTGCAGCATTTCTAAAATGCGAGGCAGCTGAGGATCCCGTCTTGGGGCTGGGTGCCTCCCTTCTCCTCTCCCCAGGGTGTTTTGTCTCCGGCCTGTACCTGGAGGGGGCCGACTGGGACCTGGACAACGGCTGCCTCACCCGCAGCAAGCCCAAAGTGCTGGTGGTGGATTTGCCCATCCTGAAGATCATCCCCATTGAGGCCCACCGGCTCAAGCTGCAGGTACGAGCAGAGGTCGCCAGCTGGCGGTTGAGTTTTCGATTTGGGGTGTGTGTGTGTGAGAGAGAGAGGCAGGACAGTCCTTCCCAGACAGGGACAGCCTTCTCTTTCCACCTGGTCATCAATGGGCACCTGGTTGGGCATGTGGTACGGCTACTGCGGGGTCCTTGGTGCTCTTCGAGTTCGGCGGGTTTCTTGGAGACGTTTCGTGACCCTACAAGGTAACATTGTCAGTGCTAGGGGGAGCGGGGTTTGGTCTCTGTTTATACACAGGAGCCTTGCCCTGTCAGTGTAGGTGGGAGCGATATTGTTGGCCCTTTGATTAGGCTGCTGTTTACAGTTTGTGGCATTAGTTCCTTGATTGGAGTGTTGTGTATTGCTTGTATATAAACAGGGAGCAACCCCCCACTCCCTTCTAGCACTGATGATGTTCCCTAGTTGGGTCATGAAACGTCTTTAAGAAAACCATCAAGCTCAGAGAGCATCAAGGATGCCACAGTCCTCCTCCTCCGCCTCCCTGCAAACCCCCCACTCCCTTCTAGCACTGATGATGTTCCCTAGTTGGGTCATGAAAGGTCTGCAAGAAAACCACCAAGCACTGAGAGCACTAAAGATCCCACAGTCATCTCCTCCTCCTCCTCCTCCTCCTCCTCATTTCCAAAAGCTTCATTCCCTTCTAGCACTGATGATGTTCCCTAGTTGGGTCATGAAACGTCTGCAAGAAAACCGCCCAGCTCAGAGAGCACCAAGGACCCCAGAGTTCTCTTTCCCATTCTCCTTTCTCTTATTCTCTTTTTCCTCCTCCTCCTCCTCTTTGCAAATTCCACTCTCTTCTCGTACTGATAATGCTACCTAGTTGGGTCATGAAACGTCTGCAAGAAAACCACCAAGCTCAGAGAGCACCCAGGACTCCCCCAGTTCAACCCCTGAGCTCCAATTATTCCCTTCTGCGTTTGTCTGCTTTTTTAACAGGGACCTCGTGGTGGTTTTGGGGTTTTTTGTTTTGTTTTTTTCAGAACACTTTCCGGACGCCAGTCTACACGACCTCCATGCGGAGAAACGCTATGGGAGTTGGATTGGTATTTGAAGCCGATCTGTTTACCACAAGGCATCTCTCTCACTGGGTCCTCCAAGGGGTTTGCCTCACCTTAAATGCCGATTGAGCCTCGGTGCAGCCATGCCGTAGCTCCGTTAACCAATTTTTTGGGAAAGAGGCGAAGAAAGAAGACAGTTGAAAAACCCAGTCTTCCTTGCTCTGGCCACTGGAGGCTTCCGGGTTGCAACCTTACCTTTTTGGAGGTTCGTTTAATTTTCAGTTGCTGTTTTTTGTTCTTTCTTATCTTTTTTAAATTTATATATTGCACTTTATATCAATAAATAGTTTTGCAAATGTGTTTGATATAAAAGGTGTAGTTGGGCGGGTTCTAAAGCTAAGGTGGCAACCAGGAAGGTTTAACGTATTTATTATTGTTCCCAAAATAAATATGTGACTTGATACAGTTCCACAAATTGCCTACAGCGGATTAACTTGTCTGCCGGCCTTGAAAATGGATTTATTTGGTCCTTTTTTGGGCCAATTTTTCTCTGTCTGGATGCAATTTTAAACCCCGTCTAGTGAAATCACACCAGTAAAAATTGTCTCCTTAATCTGTAAGAAAGGTTAAGTGCATTTTTTTTAATTTCACGGTGCATTCTCCCAAATTCTTGGACGCTTGGCTGTAAAATTTGACCCAGAAACAAGCAGGAAGGTTCTAAATTGATGCTGGTTAATGCCATGCATTTTAAAATGGTATCCTCTTCAAAGGTAGTGCCTTTATCCTTCATTAAATACCTGTCAGGGTTTCTCACTCTTGGCAATTTGAAGACCTGCGAACTTCAGCTCCCAGAATTCCCCAGCCAGCAGAACCTGCGAACTTCAGCTCCCAGATGCTGGCTGGGGAATTCTGGGAGTTGAAGTTCGCAGGTCTTCAAATTGTCAAGAGTGAGAAACCCTGATTAAACATTTTTTAACAAATCCACTAGAAAAGGAATATCATAAGCTTATGTTGAAAAGTACAATAATCTTATTCCTCCAGACCAAGGGGCTCCAAACTTGGCACGTTTAAGACTTGTGGACTTCAGCTCCCAGAATTCCTGAGCTAACATGGCTGGAGGAGGAAATCTGGGAGTTGAAGTCCACAAGTCTTAAAACTGTCAAGTTGGAAGATGTAGGGTCTCCTGCTTGGGCTGGGGGTTGGACTAGAAGACCTCCAAGGCCCCTTCTGACTTTGGTGATTCCTATCCTCCAGCCCGAATTTCAAAACGACCAGGTTGTAGCCCCTCCAACTGAGGACACAAGCTGGCCTTCAGAAGTCCCTTGTAATGCCCCCCCCCACACACAATGGTTGCTGGATTATCCATCTCCCAACAGAGACCCCTTCCACTGTACCACGTTGGGCTCCCGCTCTTCCCCTCCACCCACTTCCGCTCCCCTCCCTCCGCTCCTCCTCCACACACCCCCTCCCCAACAAAGGACACAGACAAGCTCAGCCAAGATTAGCAAAATAAAGAGTTTGTTGGGATTTTAGTCGGTTAGTTGATAAAAACGTGAACAAAGAAAAAAAGGAAACATGGTGACCAAGATCACATTCTGGAAAGATGGACAGAATTTGGGGAGGGGGTGTTTCTCTCCTTCGGCTGCACTTCCTTCCTAACACCCCCCCCCCGCACCCCTGTGGGGGTCCAAGCTGCCCCACCCCACTCAAAAAATAAGAATTTATCACGACTGTGCAAAGTGGCAGATTAGGGAAGGCTTTAAGGAGCCGATACACAGTGCGCGGCGGGGCTGATGGTGAGCTGGCGGTCTTCGTTGGGGCTATGGAGGGCTGGCCAGGCATGGTGGCCCCCCTCCCTCGGGACGCGCCCCGAATAAATGTAAGGCGCATCAGAAGCAAGCAATTCAGGCAGACACACCTGAGTTTGGCTACAGCGTTTCATTAGGTAGATAACTCTGCAATAGGTACAGGTGAGGAAGAAGTGACTCTAGTTCTGGAAAGATTTTGGCATGCACGTGGGGGGGAGGGGGGAGAGAGGAGGGGGGCGCTCGGAAGAGGGAGGGAGGGAGGCGGGGGTGCAGCCCAGCCCTCTGCTGACCACCGAGAGTCCCCTCCAAGCGCCCGGGTTCAAACAGTCCGATCCGTCCCCGAATGCTTGCAAACCATTTTGCTTCCGTTCACCTGGTCCACGGCCAGCGTCTCCACCTCGGGCGGCTGGGGCTGGGTGGGAGGGACGTGGTGGATACGGTGGGCTACCCCGACGTGGCTCTTGTGCTGCCTCTCCCGGGCCGGGCTGTGGGGCTCGGATGACATGCGCTCGGACGGGATGGGTGGGATGACTAAAGGCCTCTCCTTCAGAAGGTGCAGCTCGGTGGACTCCCTGGCCAGTAAGAAGGGTGTGGGGTCAGGCATGGCGTCCACTGGCTCCCGCAGCAGCAGCTTGCGGCTCTCTGAGCCTAATCGGTAGGCCTCCTCGAATTCGGGATTGAGCGGCGTGGACAGGCTCTTCTTCATCCGGCGCCGCGGGGTTTCCGGAAGCTTCTCTTTGGGAGGAGCGGGTTTGTAGCCGGAAAGCACGGGGCTTCCAGAGGGCGAGCTGTCCGACGTCCCGCTGGACATGAGTTTTTTCTTGGTGGCATGGAGCTGGGAGGTCAGGTAGGCGATGGTGCTGGCCCGCTGCTCCAGTTCGCTGGAGAGCATGTTCAACTTATGGCTTTTCATCTTTAACTCTTCCAAGTATTTCTTCTCCCGTTCCTTGATGGTGTTCTCCAGCACTGCGATCATGGCGTTTTTCTGCTCGAGCTCTTTCAATAACTCGTTGTTTTCCACCTCCTTCACTTTGAGCTGGGCCTCCAGTTCTTCACATTTCCTTCGGAGCTCTTCGCTCCTCGAAATCCCATTTTCTGGAAAAGGAAAAAAAGGGGGGAGGAGAGAAAGAGGGTTTGATTTCAAAAGAGATCCGGGATGGGATCAACATTCCATGAAGCGAGCAAAGAACCCAGATAAGACTTGACAAACCAAAATAATTCACGCTTTGCTTCCAGCAAGGTGCTGTGCGAAAACGCCCTTTGGAAATCCTGTTTTCCCAGCTGCAGCTAATGGAGGGAATCAGGGCCCTTTTCTCCCCGGTAACCCATGTTGCTCCTTTCTCTGTTCCTCCCTGCATGCCCTAGGATGAAGAGGGGGTGGGCCTGGGTCTTCCCCTGAATTCCCCAGTTTCCTCCACAGCCACCAGAGCCACATTCCCACTCCCTGTCAGCTGCTCAACCTCCCCCTTAGAATCAGACTCCCACAGGGGCATGACATGCCCCTTCCACGACGTTTGAAGAATACCTTAAGTACGGAAGGAAGGTGTACGCGAATGCGTTCAGATGCCTCACCTGTCAAGTCTGAGCTTTTGAGAGTCAACTCGTAGGTCAGATCTGAAAAACAGACAAGAGTTAAGATATTTCAGAAACTTTTTCTCTCTCTCTCTTGGCTGAATCTTCCTGGGCAAAACCGGACAGCTCATAATAAACGCAACCCAGAGAATTTAACCAGCCTTTCCAGAAAACCGACACCACTTTTATGACCGCTGACTTGCAGAGTAACCAATCTCCACACTGGGAAACCACCTTTATATATGACACGTTTATCCACTTATCTGTAGATGCTCTCAGCGGTTAACAGAAGCTCCCTCTGACCCCCCAAAGAATTAAAACAATAACAGCCCAGTGTGTTATCTTTCAAGATGGGTGGACTTCCATTCCCAGAATTCCCCAGCCAGGAAAGGCAGGTAGTCCTCGACTTAACAACAAGTTCATTTAGTGACCAAAGTTAACAGTGGCCCCGGAAAAGGTGACTTACGACCATTTTTTTCCACAGTTACGACCTTTGCGGCACAATTCAAACACTTGGCAACCGAGTCACGAGATTCCCACCAACAACCAAAGTCAAGGGGGAAGCCAGATTCACTTAACAACTGGGTTACTAACTCATAGTCGTAACATGGGGGGCAAAGCTCGCTGAACCCAATGTCTCGCTTAGCAACGGCAAGGTTGGGCTCGATGGTGGCCGTAAGTCGAGGACTACCTTTGAGGAACCCTGCCGCCAAGCCAGCTTTTCTTCTCTCCCCGTTTTCCCCCCGGGTACCTGTGCAGTGTTGCTGCAGGCGTCGTATTTCGGTGTGCAGCCCCTTAAGGGTGTCTGCATGCTGCCTCTGCAGGAAAAGCAAATTCTTTTGGGCGCTGTGCAGCTGGTTCTCCAGGTTCGACGCTGCCATCCTGGCATCCAGCAAATCTGGAGGGAGGGAAAGAAAGGGGGGGAGGAGGAGGGAGAGAGGGAAGACGGGAAGGAAGGAAGGAGGGAGGGAAGGAGGGAGCGCACCTTTAGATGACACGGAAGGGATCGCTCAGCAAGGAGGGAGATCGGGAGTGAAGCCGCCGGGGGTGGCGGTGGGGAGACGGTCGGCGCCACCCTACGAAAAGGTTGGAGAAGGCCACATGGGCCGCCTGCCAGGGTCCACGGAGAGCCCGGAAGTTGGAAATTGGGAAGGATCCTTCCCTCCTTTTACCATCACTGATATTTCAGTGGGAGCTCACCACCTGTAGAACTCTCCGTCTGCTTGGGATGACTGTGTGGTCACAATGGGTGAGAGGGAGGGAGGGAGGGAGGGAGGGGAGGGCCGGGGGAAGATGCCACCGGGTGCTCCTCGGTTGGAGTCACCTATTTATGGAATTGGCACCCCAGAGAGAGAGAGAGAGAGACTTTGTCTTGTGGGATTCGGAGAAGGAACCGGCTGCCCCAGGGGCCCTTGGGGTTCTCATCCCCTCTTCCTCCTCCTCCTCTTCAGAAGAGCGAACCAACATTCATCAGGCCAGCAAAATCCGCCCGGAAGGAATGGCCGGGCCCTGCAAGGAACTGAAGAAGCTTCTTCGGATGAGAAGCGAAAACCCCCAAGAAAGTCTGGTTGCCTTTTGGAAAAAGCTCCTTTTCTTCCGTAGACCCCTGCAAGGAAGTTTCTGGAACTAAAGACTTCTCTAGGTCATCTCCTGAGTGTGTCTGGATGTCAACATCACCTCCAGGGAGTGAACGTTATAGTAAGAGCCGCGGTGGCACAGTGGCGAGAGTGCAGAACTGCAGGCTACTTCTGCTGACTATGGGCTGCCTGCAATTTGGGTAGTTCAAATCCCACCAGGCTCAAGGTTGACTCGGCCTTCCGTCCTTCCGAG